TTATTGTCATTTTGTATACACAGAGTGTATAAAAAACAAAATTTCCTTTTGTAAATGTTTCATGACATTTCCATTTCATAAAGTGCAGCAGTGATCAAATATAAAACATGGTGCAAAAAATCATAATGACATGGAAGTTCAGAGCATTAAATACATATGGTGCCGTACTCCTCCACTTGTGAAAGCAAAACCTGTTGGGCTCTTTTGAAAATGAAGACAGTTATTCTTATTGCCACATCGTCAGACAGCACACTATAAAAAAAAACAAAAAACTACTACAGTATTTATTTCTGAGTTGCATGTAGATTATACATACAGAAATAAAACTAAATTCAAACCACTGGTTGGTAAATACAAGCTTGCTTACTGACATAAAATGCAGAATGGAGTGAATTTCAGCTAATTTAGTAACTGAATTATAAAAAAAAAGGTAGACAATTTGAATAGTGACCAAAATGACAAAGCAAACATAATTCCTTTAAAATACAGAACAATCATAAAAGAAAGAATGAGAGCCGTGACAGATTCAATCCATTATAATTGTCTGAGTGAATCAGATCAGTACTGGGAACACTGGTCTCTCCTCAGTGTCTCTGTGACTGCAGACTGGGAGCCCTGGGTGGCCTCACAGGTCACAGAGCCCACCTTCCTCCACTGGTCTGCAGGGAGCCTCAGGGTGCTGCTCCAGCTGTAGAGGCCGTCCTTCTGCTGCAAAAAAAGTATGAAAAATGCATGTACTTAAAATTGTTAATAATAAAATAAATAAATTACATATAATGCCTAAAAAATTATTTCAATCATTGTTACAACTTAACATCTGAGAAAATATATAGACTGGACTTTAAATACTAAACAAACTTTTGTTACATTTTACTGTTCTGATAAAACTGCACTTCTAAATATATGCAAAGTTTATATTTTATAAAGATGTTATGAATAAAGGTTTATCATTTTCTAATCTCAACTTTTCAGAATAACATTTTGGCTAATCTGTGTTTGGAGAGAGGCTTTTAAAGGCAAACAATATTAAACCAAAATATCTCAAGTTTGCAAAAGACATTAAATGTTTTCAACAAATCCCTACCTACTGATAAGACAAACAAAATATCATCACAGATCCTATTTCCAATTACAGCAGGTCAGAGCATTTCCATAGAGCCGCTTTGCATCAGCAGCTCCATGCTCCAGTGATCTGGGAGAGTTTATAGTCCTTAAAGTTGAACACTGGAGGACTGACAGCTGTCCTTCATAACGACACAAGACACAGAAAACATGACTTTGATCAGCTTCATCATCTGGACTCTCATCTGCTTTACTCAGGGTGAGGAAAAAAATAATTTTCCAGTCTAATGGAAATCATTTGGTGTTTAGTCTGATCATCTAATCTCCAGTGTTTCTTTTTCTCCTCAGGGTCTGATGGACAAAATGTTGTTGTGACTCAGCCAGCAGCCAAATCAGTGCAACTTGGTCAGACTGTCACTATTGACTGTAAGGTTAACAGAGTAGTAGCTCAATACTCAGGCTCACAGTACTACCTTGCCTGGTACCACCAAAAAACAGGAGAAGCTACTAAAGCTCTGTTCTACAGAACATCTGATAGATTTTCAGGAATCTCCTCCAGATTCACTGGAAGTGGAGCAGGAAATGGAATAGACTTCACTCTGACCATCAGTGGATTCCAGGCTGGCGATGCAGGAGTTTATTACTGTCAGAGTTATCACAGTGGCCCTGTGTTCACACAGTGAAAACTCACCGTACAAAAACCTCCCTCATACTGACTGAACAGAAACTGAACTTTGTTCTGCAGCTGGGATCTACTGCAGAGACTGATACAGTTCACTGAACACATTCAACACACAGCATTATATTTAATTAAGCACTAATGTTGATCATCCTCTAAATATTTTAATTGAGATTACATATTGCAATCATTAATTAATTAAACTATTAAAAATGTTTATGAAGCTAAATGTTTAAACATGGCAGGAGAATTAGTTATTTTTAATGTGATGATGATGTGGCAGGAATGGCCTATTTAATATGATGGAGC